TTAAAGGAGGCAAAATTTTTTAAATTTTTAGTATTTATTTTATTAATATTTAACTTGAAAATTTTTATTTTCGCATACATATATCGTATAATTTCAAGTGATTACTTTTATTTCAAGATTTGTGAAAGTAATGTTCTCGTGAAAAAACTATTAGAAATAGTTTTCAAACGAGGACACGTAAAACATAAAAAATAAGAAAATTAACAAAATGTTACTTTCATGTTTAAACTAAACTTCAATTCTTACATTACAAATACAGGTCTGTTATTATTCGAACATTAATCGAATTTGTGCTGTGGATACTGCACACCAACGAATCTAACAGAAATAAAAACCGTCTATTCCAACTCTTCAATCAATGAAGAAATCTGGCTGTAGTGGAACCATCTGGATCCACTTTCTACGATTAATCTGAATCCTCGATATTCACCTCGATATCATCCTACAGTCAGACCATCGTAGGAGAACCTTTCACGAAGTAGGTCTTTTATTGGCATATCGAATCCTCGTCGATCCCCTTTTCACGGAGACAGAAAGTACATCGCGACGCCGAAGATTGAAAGTGCGAATAAAAGATGGGATAAAATGGTGATTACTCACCGTGGGATTGGGCATACAGCGTCGCGGCGGTGGCGGCATGGGATCCGGTGCGGCACGATAAGGTGGTGGCGAATACCTTCCCGAAGGAAAACAGCCCGGGGCGGTGATCGGTGCCCCGTGGAGCCCCTTGCTCCCCATCATTTTGTCCGGTGAGTACATCATCGTGAAACCAGCCAAGTCTAAGCTGTCGGGCTTAGACCTAAACCAATCGGAAAACCGGTACCCTCAAACAGAACGATACCAACAGCGCGGACCGCGCTTCTTCTTCACATCAATGTTCGCGATTCGCATCTGTGTGACAAGAATTCTTTTTATCGATGTTCTTTCTGCTGCATTCAATTTACTTTCAGAGTATCTTCACACTCACTTCCACTGAATGTACTCAGTTGTAAAACTGAGACTCATCGGCCCGTCCGTACGAATCACCGTGTTATTATTACTATTATTATTATTATTATTATTATTGTTATTATTATTATTGTTATTATTATTATTATTATTATTATTATTGTTACTGCTATTATGATTATTACCAGTATTTGATCTTAACACTCCTCCTCTACGAGCCACCATTCATCCTTGTTCTCGTTGTTCGCTATCGACACCACCGATCAGTCCACCGATTTAGCTACGCTCGCTCGAAGAGATCGTGGACCCCTTCGCATGATGCACACGATCACGAACACAGTTCGATTTTACTCGCACTCGGTTTAGTCCTCTGTCTGAGGCATGGCAACGATCGGACGTCACGATTCGCTCGCGCTCGAATCTCGCAGTTCACAATAGAAACGCGGGACAGAGAGTAGAGAGAGAGAGAGAGAGGGGGGGAGGGGTACGTGTTTCTCCGGACGTATGAATAAATAATTCTCCTATCAAGTGAGCAGCTGATCCCGAAGAAGTCCGACGACCGAGAAACGTCAAACAGGGATGGGAACAACGACTCCAGCAATCGAGTCGGTTATACGTAAGCGCCACACAGTGCTTGGTCACTGGACGAACAATTCGCAACAATTGGGGATAGTCGAACGGAAACAAAAAAAAAACTGTCCACCCGACTGTCAGGTCGTTACGATTCAGCCAGCAAACCGTTCGAACGGTACGGCGTACGCGAGATGTTGTCCTGAAGCTGTGCACTTTTTGGCGCTGACTGGCCGGCGAAGAGTGCTCCGTGGATGAACTCTTCCGCACCGGGAGATGGAGGGATCGAAGGACGAAGAGGGAAACGACGAAGCGGGATAGGGGATGGACGGGTGATCCAGGAGATTCGCAGAGTGGCGCGTGCCCGCAAGTAGAGGGGTTGTTCGCCACGGGGTGAGCCGAGAACAACCGGAACGAAGGGATATATCGTGCATAGGCGGAGTTTAGCATGATCACGCGTGCGCCCCTCACGCGACTCGCGTCGGCCATCTTTGGCCTTGCTTTCGTGCTTGGCATGGGTGTCGCTAACCGCGGCCACCCGTTTGTCCATCCTTCCTGCGTTCCACCTTCCCTCTTTCCTCCTCGTTCACCCTGTTTCCTCTTCTATCCCCTAAAATTTCGCTCTGCGTCTCGCTCTCACGTCCCCACCGACGAGTTACACGCCCTTCCTAACCAACGTTCCGAGCCACCCCCGCGTTCCTACCAAACCTTGCCCCGCGCAACCTTGTCTCATCGAAGACGCTCTCCTCGTGTCGTCTACCTACTTTTCTTCCCTCGCGTCGTGCTTTTGTTCGACCACCGCGAAATCTCTCGCTCGGCTGTCGCCGCTACTGCTGTTGGATTAGTAGCTACGTCGTAAACTGGCCGGTCTCAGTCACCCTTAACGCCAAGGTCGCTGCCGACTGTTGTTACTCGTTGCCACTGCTGCACGTCCCTCTCGTCATTTATCTCCGATCTCCTGAAAATTGCGATCGAACCGCGGGCAGTTTCCTATCGAATATTTCTGCTTGGATGATATACGCGCCATTCGGGATGTTTTTTTTTTCCCCCCTCCCTGAAAACGTTGGACGAAATTCTATTTCGTCGACGCGATTCTGTACTCCGATTCCGAGTTTCATTGTTCGAGACAGTTTTTTTTTGACGTTATGCTTGTCATTTTAATGATTATGTCATAGATCCAATAAGTATTTCTGATATTTTTTATATGATGATACCACTCGACATTATTTTTAAGGATAGTTAAGTAAAATTACATTTCATTTAATTGTTATAGTTCCTAATCTTGTTCTATCCTTATTAACTATGAGAAAACTAACAAATGTGATCAATAAATAATACATAACTAAGTAAAATGCGAAAGATATAATTAAGTAGAATTAAGTCGTTTATATTATACATCTTTTAGAATACCTCCATTGAAAAAGTCTTTGTTTCCTTTTTACAAATGCATTTTATAAAAATCACATGTATTATTTGAGAAAATAATCGATTTGCTTCTACTTGTATTTTGATTGTCATTAATCTATACTTGTTTTAAATGATTATTTCAAGCAGTCTTTTATACTATACATGAACAATGTTATTTAAATACTTTACAGCCGATATATTTATCTTGTACACTCTCCTTAAATATTTATCTTATACACCCTCCTTAAATATTTATTTTTTATTCTACTATCGGAAATATTTACTTTTAAATTTATCTATTAATTCTTATGTTTTATTAAACTAAAATCTTTGAATTGCAATAAAAATTACTTATGAGGAGCATACAATTTTCCTTAAAATTTTTATTCTAATGTTTAACAATTAATAATTGAACATATATTAGTATTTAGTAATTAATAATACATTATAAATTGAAAATAATATTTTATTCCTAAAAAAATAGATGATTAATGTTCGGAAAGCTAAACCGAAACTTTTTATTCTTTCCAAGAAAAAAAGAAAAAATACCATTTGTCCCAGAAATACGCTTTTTAAAGATACATTTTAAAAAAAAAGATCATCTATAGTTGGATAAGTCTATAAGATCCGTAAATATCAAGATTTACGTAATTCGTCAAGGCAATTTTCTTACAGTCACTCATTTTCAACCCTGAAATTTGAAGCACATACAATGTGATTAATAATAAACAATGATAGTATATATATATTTGAAAGTCCGAAACAATTGATAGTATTTTAACGATCAGCTGTGCTGCTATTTTGATCGGTCGTGTCTTCGTAGTAAGTGCAGATTTGTGTGAGCTATTTCATAATGAATTTTTAAGGTGTCATGGACCCTTCGTAACCCAGATCCCCTCTGTTACTCCCACAAGGCTACGGGACTTTCGTCGATCCAATAAACGAATAAAGCCGTTTCACGCTATTCTTGACTCTCGGATTTCAATCCAACTGACCAACAGAGAAGTTGATTTTGCCATTCCTTTACATCCGTCACTCTACCGTGGAAATTTCCAAATGTGACAATGATGTTTGAATTTACAAGTAGCAAGAAGTATAAACATATATACTTTTTTATATACTTTTTCGTTTATTTATCTATTTTTTACAGGATTTAAATTATCCAGTGTTTCCAGATTACTAAATTAGACAACAGAATTTTCTTTGCTCGTAAGAAGATTATTAGTTAATTGTAGCTATTTATTCCAAGGTAAAATCCAGCAAAAACCGATTGTTGTTGTAAATAATTTATTTAGTATTTTTACAACTGTGTATTGATGGAGTAGAATGATGAGATAATAGATAGACAAAATAAGATTTTCAAAATGTGACTATACATATACATATAACTTTCAAATTATACGATACAAGGTTAATTGCGTTGGTTTATATCACTGTTTTATATATTCGTAACCATTTTTAAATATGTATAAATATTAAATTTCAACAGAATAATTTTTTATTCTTACAATAATTCTTAATAACATAGAAAAGATAAAACATCTTTCCTCTAATTTATTTTCGTCAGCACTAACTTGTAGACTAATGATTCTTAGATATACTCTAGGTACAATACAAGTAATTTCCAATTAATATTAATTAATATGCTACTTTCGATATTTTATCATTTTATATGCATTTGAAATATTTTTATTTTTTGTCTCGCACGAATGAATAAAAATCCGTACTCCATTGAATCTTAACATATGAAATACAACATATCTATAGAATACTCTCTTATAAAGATGGCCAAAAATAATCAAAAAATATCATTAGAAATATAATGAAAGCATGGAAAAAGAAATAATCCATTCCCAAAAGATACAACAGTACATATACGTTTCGTCTCGAAGGAAAGGTGTCAATCAACCGTATTCAAAAGTTCGCAATCACTCTGACGTAACTACGTTGCAGATCCAGCCGCAAGGATGAGGAGAAGCAACAAAGAAACGAGTGTGTTATCGGAGCGAACAAGGACAATCGTTCATCTCCGATGGGAAAGGAGGAAAAGCAGTAATAGGAAGAATGACGGCGCGATGTGGTTGCACGACGGGTCAACGAAGGAAAGACAGAACGGACAGGCCAGCGGGTACACGAGATGGTACGTACCGCGTATGTACGATGGAAGAGGAAGCGTTGAAGTGGGGTATGGGGGTAGAGCCAAGGGGAATGAGAACGAGAAGGAAGCAGCGGGTGGGCGAGAGGGTGGTTGCGAGTTTGGCGGCAGTCGTTTTCCGAGGGATGTTGGGCGGAAGGTTCCCGCGGGGCCAGTGTTATCGCCTCGGCAGGATGACCAGCCCGCGGTATCAAATATTAAACCTACTTGCACCGGCAGCCTATCCTCGACAAGGTATCCAAACCTTCCCTCCGACCAGATCCCTCCGCGAACCCCGCGTCTATGGGTCACCACCAGCTCGCCACCGCTGTCTGCCATCAAAACCTACGTCTAGTA